AATTTTGATAATCAATACTTGCATACTTGTATGTACTTTTATGTTGACATATACTGTTTTTCATCGTAAGTCAAAAATCTTACAAAAGATGTAATATGTGTTTTAAAACACTCTTAAAAGGCTGGTCACAGTGGTTCATGCCTGTAATCTCAACACTTTGGGAAGCTAAGTTGGGAGGATCTCTTGAGGCCAGGAGTTCGAGACAGCTTGGGCAACATAGTGAGATCCCATTTCTGCAAAAAATTTACAAAAATTAGCCGGATGTGGTGGTGTGTACCTGTAGTTCCAGCTCCCAGGGAGGCTGAGGTGGGAGGATTGCTTGACCTCAGGAGTTTGAGCTTGCAGTGAGCTTTCATGGCTTCGTTGTACTCCAACCTGGGCAACAGAGGGAGACCTTGTCTCTAAAAACACAAAAAAGATTAAAAATAAAACACTCTTAAAATATTTGATATTCATGATATTAAAAAACTGTATTTTTTTTACTCCTTGAAATTGTATTTTTACTCTACTCTTACAGAATTCTATCATAATGTAACATATTTTTTGCACTTCTATGGTTGTTTACGGCGATGGTTAGTTTTTTGTGTCAACTTGGCTAGGCTATAGTTTCCAGTTGTTCAGTCGACACTGTCTAAGCATTGCTGAGAAGGCATTTTACAGAGGCTGTTAACATCTACAATCAGTTGACTTTAAATAAAGGTTAACATCTACAATCAGTTTACTTTAGTTAAAGGAGACTATCTTTGATAATGTGGGTGTTGAATTAGTTTGTACTTGCACTGCTATAAAGAAATACCTGAGACTAGGCAATTTATAAAGAAAAGAGGATTAATTGGCTTACGGTTCTGCAGGCTGTACAGGAAACATGACTGGGGAGGCTTCGGGAAACTTACAATCATGGTGGAAGGTGAAGGGGAAGCATGTACCTCTTACATGGCTGAGCAAGAGGAAGGTGGGGGAGGTGCCACTCACTTTTAATCAACCAGCTCTCCTGAGCACTCTATCAGGAGAAGAGCACCAAAGGCGGAAATCCATTGCCATGATACAATCACCTCCCATCAAACCCCACCTCCAACATTAGGGATTATTATTTAACATGAGAGTTGGGTGGGGACACAAATCCAAACCATATCAGTGGTGATTCATCTAATTAGGTGAAGGCCCTAAGAGCGAAAATTGAGAAAGATTTTCTGAAGAAGAAAACTCAAGACTGCAACATTAACTCCTACCTGAGTCTCCAGCCTGCCAGCCTACTCTACAGATGTGTTAAAAGATAAACTAAGTCACATTCAAATCTATAGTTTGAGTGGACAATGAATCAGAAGTTGGGCAGCTCCAGACCATAGGCAGTTCAGGGATCCAGAAAAGGAGAATAAGGGGGAGCTTTTATAAGGTGAATGTGGAAGCAAGGCAAAGCTATCAATCATTTCAGTGGAGAGTCCCTAGCTAGAGGTGAGATGGTGGTTTCTGATAGGCCTGAACTTACATCTAGTTGGGTTTCAGTTTGCTTACATAGGAACCCAGGGTGCTGGAGCTGCCTTGGTTTAATGGCCTTCCAAAAATTATTTTAACAGATTTCAGGATTCCAAGACTCCACAATCAAATGAGTCAATTACAAAAAATAAATCTCTCTCTCTCCCTCTTTCTGTCTCTCCATTATCTTCTGTTTCTCTTGAGTCCCTGGATACATTCACCCTAGTAAACTGAAACGCAAAACAACAACAAATATGTAAAATTGAAGTTAAAAACTACCTATAATTTTTTGTGACAGTAAGGTTATTAGTGTTAAAATATTTCTTTGGCATCAAATTATCACTGTAATTATTAATAGTCTGCAGCTACTCAAAATGGTATAAATGTATTAAAACATTTGGTAATTATTTTTAAAAGGAGAAATATATAGAAAATACATCTCAATTAGATTCACTGAGGGGTATGTTTGTGAAACTATTTATGGGGGCTTGATTAAAAGAATTAACTTAAAATTGTATCTTTGGTTCTAGAACCGGCTTCAGATGGGTGAGAGGTGGACCTGTTTTTTTTTTTTTTTTTGTAAATTGGGAGAAAAGTGACCAAGAAATAGGAGAGTGTATTATCAGGTTGTTAAGAGTTATAGGAAGAGTACATGTAAAAGCAGAGGATAGGAAGATGGATTACTTTAAAACCCTCTGGGACCTAGTAACTATTCTAAAATCTTTTTGCATCTCTAGAGCAAGTGTGCCCTCCTTGGAAGACTGTTGCTTATTTCTCTGGGTTTCAGAGTTACCTTGTTTCTCTCAAATAGCCTAGTCGTGGACCTGGTTTTAATTTAGCAATTTTGGTAAATCTCTGGTTTTTGACTGTTTTCTGACTTTGTTAATTTGGGTGCATTGTCATCCTTTGGGTTTCATGTCCATGCTGGGTCTGGACCATCTCCCTTATTTGTTCTCAAGGCTCCTGTTCAGGGAGTTTCCTTGGTTTCCCAGCTTTTTCCCTTCACAGCTTGATGTTCTGTTATTCACATCCCTGAATGGTGTGATTGCGTCTGATCACCTCAGCAGGGCTGGACAGCTGCTGGAGGCTGTGGCTGGATCTGTCTGTCAGCCATCTTGCTTTTATTCATTAGTTCATGAAGGACCAATTACATTAAAAAACATCACATTGTTCTTCTTGGAAATCTGGCCCCTTTGTCTGCTTCAACCTGTTTCCATTTTTCCTGCTTTATTTTTATATACCTTTTGGTCTTCTGTCCCTTTTAAACTTAATTGCTTTTGTACTTCCTTCCTTGGCTTTAGATTGCTTTGTTTTATGATTCTCTTGATTAAAAAAAAAAAAAAAAACTTAAGCCAAATTAAATTTAAAGGAGTTTAATTGAGCAACGAACGATTCCTGAATCAGGCAGCCTTCTGAGCGGTAGTAGGCTCAGAGACTCCAGCGTAGCCATGTGGTGGAAGATTTATGGGCAGGAAAAGGAAAGTGACATACAGAAAGCAGAAGTGAGGTACAGAAACAACTGGATTGGTTACAGCTCAGTGTTTGCCTTATTTGAACACGGTTCAAACAATTGGCCACATTTAATTGGCCAAAACTCAGTGTAGGCTAAGGTCTGATTATACCTCCACTTGTTATAGTTCACGAAATGCAGAAAAACCTTTAGGGGAAACTTAAAATATGGAAGGAGGCAGCTTTAGGCTAAACTTGATTTAACCTCTAAATGCCAGTACGATCAAACTATAAAAAATAATATTAAAATTTACTAAAATTTTGAGATTGAAGAAACACCATAAATCATAACTCCTGCATGTGTGTGAACTATATTTTGGGACTGTGCAGAAGTTATTTAAGCCTGGGGGTTCTGAGGGTATGAGAGAAGCATTTGAGAACCAACATTCCTCTAGGACTTTCCAACCTAGATGTGATGTGGCACATTACACATGTGCTTCTGTCATGCCTTCCATCTTGTCAACCATGCTACTGACCCCAGTGGTTGAAACAGGATGGAGGAAGAAGGGGTGGTGGTTTGCCAATATTTAACCTGAACCCTTTCTCTCCTGGGATGCTTTTTTTTAAAAATTTTTAATTTTTTTTTTTCAAGACAGAGCCTTACTCTGTCACCAAGGCTGGAGTGCAGTGGCGCGATCTTGGTTCACTGCAACCTATGCCTCCCGGGTTCAAGCAATTCTGCCTCAGCCTCCTGAGTAGCTGGGATTATGGGTGCACACCACTATGCCTGGTTAGTTTTTGTAGTTTTAGTAGAGATGGGGTTACACCATGTTGGCCAGGCTGGTCTCAAGCTCTTGACCTCGTGATCCGCCCACCTCAGCCTCCCAAAGTGGTGGGATTATAGGTGTGAGCCATGGCGCCTGGCCTGGGATGCTTTCTTTTGTCCTGTAGGCAGCAACTTCTCCTGATGGTGGATTTCTAATCTGCAGTTCTCTTGTTCCAACGGAATGCTCTTGCTTATTTCATCTTTAGATCCTTACAATCAGGGGGTCTACCTCTGGCTTCTGTTTGCTGAGGTTTCATTAGCTTCTCTAGGTAGCTCTATTGAATGGGATGAAAAACAACTTCTCTGCTGGCTCTTTCTCTCACACACGAAACTCACATAGTGCCCATGCTTGTCCATGTGGTTCTTTGTGTTTATCAGAAAGAGGTGCCCGTTTCTCAAGATACTTTATTTCTGCCTATGGGGAAATTGTTGTAATACACACCAGTTTTGTTAGAACAAGAACCTCTATTGCTATCTACCAGAAAGTAAACATAAAAACTTATGATGACTACCATGTGATTAAATGTTGACATTAGATGTTGTACCCTTGACAGCATACAACTTGCACACCATGCCTGGTGACCCTAGGCTCACACATCGTATACAAGAAACACATGATCTGCCTAGATGAACTTTGGAAATGAAGGCTGATTCCAACACAGAAGCAAACTCTTCTTTATCCAGCTTTCATCAGTTAGGAGGATTGCCTTACTCTCAGAGTAGTCTTCTTGAAGCTCTCTCTTGCCCTCATGAGCTAAGGGTCAGGTTTTCCCTAAACTCCTTCACGATGTTGCAGCACTGGGATTCAGAGAGGGGCAACAGCTGTTCTCAAATTATTTTCACAAATTCTCACCAATATTTAACAATATGCCCTTTTATAACCTTGATGTACACGAAGGATTTTAAGAGCTATTGTTAAGGACTTTTGGGCTAATTCCTTTGAAACTTCTGCGTATGATCTCATACTTTATCATCTATTTTTTTCCTTGGTGTTTCAGTTGTAACTTCTGTTTTCACTTCTTATCACAAACAAAATAGAAAATGGAAATATTTCTCCAAAGATGTTAAACATCTTTCCACTTACTCCAATGACAATAATTTAATACGGATAGAATTAATCTTCACTAGAAAACTAAAATTTACCAAAGCATATCTTTTATGGGTTTGGTATAAGAGCAGCAGGGAAAATTTCTTTCAGAACAATTTATGATGGAGAGTATCATGAGAGTCTTATCTTTGTCCTTTCTAGAAGACACTAAGGATCATGTGAAAGAGCTCCCTGAGGACAGATTAAGAAGAGATGAGTTAAAGCTGCAAATACCAAGATTTAAGGTTAAGTATGAAGAATTTCCTGATACAGAAAATTCTTTAGCCCTGGAATTGAATATCAAAAGACTCTTTCCCCAACGTTGACCTCCAAACAAACTTTGCTGGGTTGTTCAAACCGCTTTGTTTCCTGTAAGTGTTCATTGATCTCTGTGAGTGGATGATGGTTGATTACACACTTTGTCCGTGATTAAACTAAGAAACTTCTGTTCAAAAGATTCAGTATAATTTCTCTTTCCATGAATATATGGAATTATAGTGATTTTAACCTATATAGACCAAGATAACTTTGTGATCCAAATGGTCAGGTGTCATATTTAAAAAATATATGCATATAGTTTAAAGCAATTAAATATCCTTACTCAGTTTCTTATGCGGATGTGTAAGAGTAGCAACTGGTCGTGAGGGTCCATCTTCTATGGCTCTTTCACGTGTCTGTGTGTTTTGTGAAGCAAAGCATCGACTTCCCCTTGTTCTAAACTATCTTTTGAAGGATGCTTGTATAGTATAATTAACGGCTTTGGACAATAGAGATTGTATCTCCCTCTGGAACAGGGGTGTCTGATCTTTTGGCTTCCCTGGGCCACATTGGAAGAAGAATTGTCTTGTGCCACATATAAAAAACATACTCACTATAGCTGATGAGCTGAAAAAAAAATCGCAAAAAACCCTCATAACGTTTTAAGAAAGTTTACCAATTTGTGTTGGGTTGCATTCAAAGCCATTCTAGTCCACGTGTGGCCCGTGGGCTGCAGGTTGGACAAGCTTGCTCTAAAACAAAGGGCTGATTTTCTTATTGTTTTGTGTGGTAGGCAGTATAATGGCTCCCCCAAGATGTCCAGAACTTAATCCCAGGAACCTGTGAATATGTTACCTTGCATAACAAATGAAAATTTATGTTACAGATGAAATTAAGAATGCTGATCAACTAAAGGACCTTCACATACAAAGGTTATCCTGGATTATTCAGGTGGGCTCAGTGTAATCACAGGCATCCTTTAAAGTGGAAGAGTGAGTTCAGAGTGATGTGATGTGAAAAGGACTCAATTTGCCTTTGTTAGTTTTGAAGATGGAAGAATGGGGCTATGGTCCAAGGCATGCTGGTGACCTCTAGAAGCTAAAACGTTAACAAAATGGAAAAGAAATTTTAGTGCAGTGAGGCCCAATTTGGACTTCTGACTCCAGAACTGCAAGATAATACATTTGTATCCATTAAGCCACTAAATTTGTGCTAATTTGTTATGGCAGCAATAGGAGACTAATTCACCTTGGTAGGTAGAGGTAGTATCCTCCACTGGGGCAAACATATAAGCATGCTTACTGCACAATATAATAAGGATGACATCTCTTTCCAGGGCATAAGCAGGCATGCTTATTTCCTGTTATAAAATATTCAGGTTTTCTAAGTTCAGGTTTTTTTTTTTTTTTTTTGCCTTATTTGCATTACCTTGTGGGTACTGGGGTTTGGAGGAATTGGCTCAGATGCTGATACTCTGGCTACTACTATCGTGGTGAGTAATAACCTCTCATTTGTCTATAATCCAGGAGTCTCATGTCTTCTGCCAGCATCCATAAACTCTAGCAGGCTAACTTCTTAGTTTGCAAGTAGACCCTTTATGGTATGCTTGTTTTGACGCACTTCTGCAAAATTTATTTAACAATTTGCTAGACCGGGGCTAAGCAACTCTGTAATTATTACCTTCAAGATAGTGTTTGCTCTCTTTCCATACTTTAGAGAGGAAGTGTTATGATGTCTCTCTCTACCTTTACAAAGATCAGAGATCAGCTTATAACAAGATTAGAAATAAAAAACAAAACAGGTTGTTTACTATAGTTTGAAAAGCATCTCTCTATTGACAATTTACGACTAGGGCAGGTGCTAACAAGTTCCCTGTCTTTTTTCTCATCTATGGAATTTTCTTACTGCCACGTTTCTCCATTTATCTTTCTTTCTCCACGACGTGCTGTTTGAAGAGAAAATCCTTGGGAATTAGTCTCTCATTCTTTTCTCATGAGAAGCACTCCCCTCTCTGAATTTTTGGTGAGTTAGATTTCTCTCTTGGCTATACCATAAAGGGTCCTGGCTTTTATAGCTACTTTCTTGTTTCTAGCTTGAACTCTGTGGCAAAAGTTAAGTCAGAGTGTCAGAAGTCATTTAGACCAAGGATTTTGTTTTACAGATGTGAAAACCAAGGCCTCTGATGACAAGAAGAGCTATTGCTTTGTTTAAGCTTCTCCTGACCTAAATACCTAGTGTTTTGGAAGAAATTGTCTTAGCCACTGTCAGCCCCCATCTTTCTGACACAAGGCCTGGCTCAGTTGCTAGTTTGGCCTAACATGATTGCTTCCCCTCAACTGCTCTAGAAATACAATTGTGAAATTGAAATTATCGTATTTGCAGGCTGACTCTGGCCAGAGAAACTGACCTGTGGACGAGTTGAAAATGAGCTTATAACAATGCTCGTTTTACAGTTAATTAATTTAGGGCACAGGTATGAGAGCCCAACATGTGCCAGGGCCTCTTGGAACAATGCCTGGAGTGAGGCTGGGAGGGGAGCTTCCTAAAAGGTTGAGGACTTTATTTGGGAAGGAACTGAGAGTGGGGCTCTGGGGCCTGTACTGTGTGAGAGTTTGAGGACTCTAAGGAAAGGAGAATATTATGGAGTTCATCTTTGATTTTTGTTTTTTAATCAGTAACTTGTCATTTTTTCCATAGTCAGAAATGTAACTGAAACATTTCTTCCTCTTAACAGGTATAAAGAGAAAAGGATAGATTTTCTTTTTCTCCTGCAATTTTCCTCTTTAAGAAACAGAAAGAACAAAAGATCTTATGTCCATGCTCCTGGAAGTCACCAATAAATAATATGGGCCAGGGCTTTGTCTTTTCAGCAGTGGGCTGATTAAATCCCTATGCTTGTTCTGGGTTGTGTGTCTGAAATTTGTGTTCCTTTTGTTCTGAGGAGTACAAAATAATCAATTCCTCTAATGGAGATTACCAGGTTAATAGATAATCCTAACGTATTCTTTGTAAAATACATTGTATATGATATTTAAAGTTGAAGGAAAGAAGATTGGGCCATGTAGAAATTTGGTTCTTAATAGAACCTCTTCTTGATTGAAGAAATGTAAGCAAAGAGTTTTATATATTCTGGTAAGGGTATGTAGTCTTTGCATTTTCTGTTCTAAGTATTACAAAAGGAAAAAGGAAAAAAAGCTTCTACATATAGCAGAGAGATATGCTCCAAAAGCAGGAGGCTAGTGAAGCCCTGGACCCCTGCTCTCTTCCAGCCTTCAAGGAAAAAGAGAGTCCACATAACAACAGAAGGTGCTTCAGAACAAATTATGAGTCCATAAGAGATAAATTAATGTCTTTATTCATTGCAAAGGAATGGTTATTATTAAAATAAAATCCCTGATGCTGTCTCTCAGACAGAACTTACATATAGGTAGGAGACCATGTGTAATTTATTGACTGATAAAACTGTAGGTAAGAATACATATGGCTTCCATAACTTGTATAAAAAATGAAACTACATTTAATGTAGGAGCAGTATATTGGTTGCTATTTAACTGGTTGAATAGTTAACATGTAATATTTTAAATAATCTTCTTTTAATAGGCGGTTTAAGTTAATGCTTATGGTCTAATTTTTACTTGAAGACATTTTGCTACAGCAGAAATATAGTTGTGATTCATATACTTATTCTTGATATTAGCCTGGCCATTCGTCCTGTGATGCTTAAGCTAGTTACCACCATTTATCTGGTAACTGTTTCCAGAACTGAAGGGATGATGCCTGGAAGGAGATAAACTTCAGGAGTTCACCTTTAAGCCAAAAAAGTACCAGCAAAATTCAACGACAGGATAAAAAGTTTGTCATAAGTATTTTCACAAGATGGAAGACAAGAAAGCAAAGAGCAGGATAGAAAGAATGAAGGAATAAATAAAAATAAGTGAAAATGCTGCGTTTTCTCTCATGGGATGGATTTTTCAACAGCTTCTGAACGATGACCTCTCAAGTTCTTTTGCAATTCTGTTCTAAGAAAGTAATTACATACATTTAATATTCCTGTCTTTTCACAACATTAATTCATTCCTACTTTAGCCTTAAGAATTTTAGTAGAATTTATTGTTTATTCATGTGTATAAATATTGTGGAAAAATATCTTTAGATGAGTTAGTATATATGAGACACTTAGGCCAGGATTTGGCACATCTCTGTACTTCATAAGTGTTTGTTATTGTTATTTTTTAACAAGAGTAAAAAAAGATCTTATGACGCATCTAATATCATTTAAGCTGTTTATGGTTAGTCCTTGGAATGTCTTCTGGTCAAAAGTTTCTGCAGCCCAGCATGACATTAATTTGAATGCATTGAGCCGGTTTCCCAGAGGGCTGGATGACATTTTTGACTTTTTAGGATTTTTGAGGCTTTTTCTAATGGCTAAGGTCAAAATCTCTCTTTCCTCATCTCTTGAGTTTTAGGGGGCAACCAGAGATGTTTTGAAGTAAACCAACCATTAGATGTCGCTTTCTTCTCACTGCTTTTGGTTTTAGGACCTATGACCTGGGTTTAAGCCTTTTGATTTTCTTCTTTTTTTGAATGTCTATAAATAGTCTCTATGTCAAAGCTAAACGGGAAATTTAATTTTAGATTAGTAGATAAGAGAGAACACTCAACTCCTTGGAATGATGAAATTTTGGGCTGGTTTTAAATTGGCCTGACTCAATGTCCCTAGTTGACTAAATTTGGAAATGTAGTATTTGTGTTTTTCTCTCTCACTGAAGTTAGCATGGCATTGTTTCTACACCAGACACTTATGCTTGGGTGTATCCTTATTCAGGTCAAAGCTTACGAGCTTTTTTTTCTTAGCAATCACTGAACAAAAAACATATTCTTCAGATATCTGTTTAGAATTGCTTTTCCAGAAAACTTTTGTGATCTCCCTCCCCCAACAGAAGAGCTCAGAAACACATATCAGTTTGAAAACGAGAGAAAATACTGCTGCTATGGTCTGAACATTTATGTCTCCTCCAAAATTCATGTTGAGACTTAATCCCCATTGTGGTGGTATTAGGAGGGGTGCCTTTAGCAGGTGGTTAGGCCATGAGGGCTCTGCACTTGTGAATGGATTAGTGTCTTATAAAAGGACTGGAGGGAAGTGGCTTAAGGTCCCCTTACTCCTCCTCCTTCTGCCATGTGAGGATGCCACTGCAAGAACATGCCACTGATGGAGCAGCCCTCACCAGACGCCAAACTTGCCAGCACCTTGACCTTGGACTTCTCAGCCTCTAGAGCTGAGAGAAATACATTTCTGTTCTTTATCAATTGCTCAGCATCAGGTACTTTATTATAGTAGCACAAATGGATGAAGGTAACTGCCAATCATGATTTTAGGAAAGAACCTGATTCAAGAATATCATCTTTCCAGTCTTACACCTTTTGCTTCCCCCTCATCATTTCTATCCTGTAGAAGCCTGACACTGAGCAGTGGCCAGAAGGAGGTTTTGAGCTCTTTGAGACTTGTTTCCTTGGTGGCCATAGGCTTTGCTCTGTTGAAGTCCTTTAACTAGTAAAGGTTATTCGTAACTTTGGGTCTGAGAATGTGTCCAAAAATCTGTGAAGCACTCATCCTATATGACAGGATTAAAATGCCCAAGGATGTCCAAAACCAAAAAACAAACAAGTAGCTTTTTACATTTTATCTAACTGACATTTCATCTTGCTTTTGCTCCTACTGATATGAAATGAAAACCCCACAACCCTTAAAATGCCGTATTAGTTTGCTATGGCTGCTGTAATGAAATGCTAGGGACTGGATGGCTTAAACAACAGAAATTAATTTTCTTATGGTTTTAGGGGCTGGAAATCCAAGATTCGGGTGTTGGCAGTCCTTGTTTCTCATGAAGCCTCTCTCCTCGGCTTGCAAATGGCTGCCTTCTCTCTGTGTTCTCACCTCGTCTTTCCTC